TTCGGGGATTTCTTGACGACGATTTACGTGGTTGATGTAATTATCAGGCATCAGTTGAACAAGCGTGATTCTATAGGGATGGAATGACAGTTCTTCATGCAGAATGCTCCTTGAAGCGCGGGCAGATATATCGAAAGCAATCGCATGCGTTCGAGCAGAGCGCCTTGGTGACAATTCAACTGCTGGCCTCACAATTTCGTCTGTTTCGACAGATCTGGGTCTTCCAGTTGCCTCAGGTCTTGTAGTCGATCCAGTTTCTTCCAATGTACTGGCCCAAAGTCTAATCGTCTTACCGCTGGCCCAACTAACTATTAGGGTTGCAAGAATGATTATACAGTATTCCTTAAACAGCATTGTATACTGTAAGAACATTGGCAAAACCATCTTAGAACAGCTATACAAGCGGAATGGGCACACCTAATAGGACACTTCAGTCATTTAAGAGGTTAAATAAGGGCTGCAGGTAACAGTTAAAAAAAAAAGTGTAAGCCTCTTGCAGCCGCTATAGAACATTTACGTCAGTGCAAGATTCAGTTTTTGTCAACTATACAACTATTCTGTTACGTGATTCTACTTTATTGCAACCAAAAGTATGTCTAGATTTTTAAGATGGAAAACTGAACTTATCTGCGTTAAATCTTCCACAAATCCTATATTTAGACACAATTACACTAATGTTTATCATTTTATATCTGTAATTTCAAACTGAAACATAATTATTTAATATTAAATAGAAGAATAAATGTTTGCCCAATATGACGGGTGGTTGTGTACAATCAAGGCATCGTCTATGTTGTCTTTAGGTTATTAGAATATTTTGGTGTTGCCTGCAGGTGTTATACAACAAATTTGACAAATGTCTGAAATGAAATACCGACAGAGTCGAATGATTAACCCAGAATCTGTACCAGATCTATATATTCTGTTTGAACAGTTGATAAAACCTTTTGAACCAATATGCATGCGTTGTTTGTCTTGAAACATTGATTATGGCATTTTACAAAAATATGACAGTTACTAAACAACAGTTGTATAAGTGCTTCCATTGGGAGCAATTTGTTGGCAAAAGTAGTAAATTGCACAGCAAAACAACAAGGCTCGGGTTTTTTTTTTATAAACGTTACCATGGATGCCACACCACAACCATTTTGACTAACGTGCAAATTTGCCGTATAAAATAGTTGTATAAACGTTTATGCAACAGTTAAAAATTTGCCCTATAAGGTGTATAACTATGCTATAAGAATATTTTAAACACTTCATTTTAGAGCAAATATATTGCAGAAAGCAAATCTGCATTCCACAAAACATTAAGCCAGCATTTTGGTGTTCAGGCAACAACAATAGAGAGCTTTTATGGCTGAACGGTTCTTTTACCAAAAGCTTATACCACTACTTTGCTAGTTGGGGGGGGGACCGTAACATTACGCAGAATGTTGAAATGTACGCGAATAGCAGCTCTCTGCGTGGCCATTTTAAAAAAAAAAACGTACGCACAACGAAGCCTCGATGCTCACCTGTCCCAATCATAGCGTCATCTGGAAACGGAACGATGCAACACCCACAATGACACCAATACTCCCACCACAGAACAGGCAATTACAGTATATTCAGATAAGAGATAGACCGGATGTAAACAAAAGGTACGGGTGATTTTCACGCTAACGCCGCCGTCTCGACGTAAAACAGGAGCCCTCATTGGTCAATTCGCAATTAAATGCCTATGCCGAGCGGCAGAGCAGTCGTATCAAGGCAGAGTCACATTCAGGTTCAGACGTGTTACGTATGTCGTGTGCATCATTGCAATTTGATATTTCTTTGGACGTTTTCGTTTGTTATCTTATTAAGTTGTTGAGTTTGTCGTTGTTATTGTTATACCTTGTTATTGATTGTTATTGTTATCAACTGCTTGCGCAAAATGCCCAGTAGTACAGATACTGCCGATGAAGTTGTAAACTCCTGTAGTCCACCTAGGAAACGCTCTAAAAAAAGACACCTGAGTGCAGAAATGAAAGAGGTCATTTTGAATATATATAAGATCGAGCGCGAGGAGAACGAGGCATCAACCATCAAAGAAATTGTTGTGAAGGTTTCTCACAAAGTTGGGGTGTGTCGCGCATCAGTGTTTAATGTGTTAAGACAATACAAAAAAAATCACACCTTTTCTGAGCCAATGACCAGTAAACATCGCAAAAGTATTGTTAAATCATTGGATGAAGCTGATAAGCATGCGATTAGGAGGGAAGTGCATGAATTCTTCTTTAGGAATGAAATACCTACTATAGATAAAGTACTGCAGGAGGTAAATGGAGATACAACGTTGCCAAATTTTAAACGATCAACTTTCCATGCGTTACTGAAGCATTTAAATTTCAAATGGAAAAAACGGGGTCGTAATAGTTTACTACTGGATAGAGAAGAAATTGTGCTATGGAGGAGGGATTATTTAACAAAAGTTGGGAAATATAGAAATCAAAACAGGAAGATTTATTACCTTGATGAAACGTGGGTAAACGCAGGACACACTACAAGTAATGTATGGGTTGATGATTCTGTAACTTCATCCAGGAGGGCCTTTCCAGATGGACTGTCCACCGGATTAAAACATCCAGCAGGTAAATACGAGTAATAGACAACAATCGGATGTTTTTCAAACCTTGGGAACAAGGTTCTAAACATTAATTCCAGAGGGCAGATAAAACATATTACAAGTAACAAAACTTTTATAACTTTCGATAAAATGCGTGGATGTTTTATTGTCATTTTCATTTGTTAGAACTTTTTTAAGCCATGTTTTTATGTGTTTTCGATATTTCAATAATTTTTTAATATAATCTTAAAATATGTCGAATATTATAAACTTAAAAAAAGTTACTAAGTTTTATATTGTGTACCGTTCCTAATATTTCTAATCATTTTAATTCATACTTTAAGCTTTATAAAGTTATAATTTGTTAATATTAATATTTGCGCGTATTTCAGGTTCCTGATCATTCATTTTTTAAAGGTTTATAACTTTAAATTAAATTGTGACGCGCTGAGTAATCATACGACGTTCAATATTCTTTCTTTCAATATGACTAAATAATCCCAATTATAGCAATCTGTTACTCATGTCTCAATGTTTTTTCGCTGAATGTGATGAAAACATTTGAAAAAGGTTCGCTTATTGAAATAAATCTACACCAGTTAGTACTTCGATTTCCAGGTAAAGGGAAAAGGCTCATTATCTGCCATATTGGCAGTGAGGATGGATTTGTTGTTGACGGTCTGTGGTGCTTTGAGTCTAAGAAAACTGGAGATTACCACGAGGAAATGAATGGCGAATCGTTTGAACAGTGGTTTTCAAAAATTTTACCGAACTTAGAGGAAAACGCAGTAATTGTGTTGGATAATGCGCCTTATCATTCTTGAAGAATGGAGAAGGTCCCAACAACGGCTTCAAGGAAAGTTGATGTTCAAAATTGGCTCCGCTCGAAAAATATCAACTTTGAAGAAGCAATGCTGAAAGTACAATTATTAAGAATTGTCAAGGATCACAAGGCGGAATATCAAAAATACGCCATTGACGAAATGGCAGCAAGTCAAAACAAAACTGTGCTCCGCTTACCTCCATACCATTGCGAGCTCAATCCCATTGAGCTCATATGGGCAGAGGTTAAAAATTATATAGCTAAGCACAATACAACTTTTAAATTTTGTGACCTCAAAGGACTTTTCAAAGAAGCACTAGAATTAATAACAGCGCAAAAATGGGAAAACTGTATTGAGCACGTGAAAGACAAAGTTGAAAAGCGAATGTGGGAACTGGACAATATTTTAGAGGAACAAGTCGAGCCATTCATTATTGACGTTGGTCAATCTCTCATCTTTCCAATAAAAGATGTCGTTCATCAAATTCGGTAAGTTATAAGTAATTTTAAAGCTACTGTATTCTTTAATTAATTATTGACATTTTTGAACTCATTTTGGCAAAACCTATTTAAGAATCTACTTTCTGACAATGTTCAACCATGCACATTTTTTTACGTTTTGAACGTTTTAATTTGGTTACATATTTACCTAGAAATCAAAAAATATACTAATCAATATTCTAAAAGCAATTTTAAGAGATATACGATTATTTTTAATTTAGGCTAATTTGAACGCCATTTTGAGATTATATCCGACTGTATTTCACCAAACATCAGGCGGCATCAGAAGCTGGAAATCGAAGCGAAAATTTTGAAACCCTTATGTATATTTACATCATTATATATTTCTTACCCCACCCCCACATGATCCTATATCCATCACCAATCGTATACACATCGAATTGTGCTAATTTACTACAAAGTTACGCAAAGCAGCATCTACTATCTAAAATATGTACTGCGTGACTCTTAATACGTCCCTGCCGAATGTTACAGCGTTCGATGATCACGTGGTCTTGTTTATGTCCGGTCTATCTCTTATCTGAATATACTGTAGTTTGACAAACCGGTTCACTACTAATGCCCCACTCTGTATTAAAACAAAATTTCACAAGTGTAGGACGCCTTTATTTTCATAGTCTTTTCTCTCCTTCAGAAACGCTGGGGTATTTCTAGATTTCGACTGTTCCATTTCGGCGTCAGCGCTCTAATATTGTGAGGCTATGCTTTCTTTTTGAATTGTAGGAAATTTCAGGCTGATATAACAGATGCTGTAAATCAAAAGCATGAACAATTTGATGCTAGATATTTGTAACATAACCTCAAAATAGTGCGCTGACACAAAGCACTAGAAAACTATGAAAATCAACGAGGCCATAAAGGCGTCCTACAATATTGTATGAACGACTGACGATACGGCCCTAAGAGCAAATAGCAAGGACAGTGGAAAATCATAAAATACATTTGCTAGTTGGGCCTAAGTTACATGCATTTTTTGTTTTATGAAAAAATTCTGGGTATTATCTTTTCTCATCTATTCGAGTGAAACACCAATAAGAATACATGACCGCATTCCCCTTGACTTACCTAAGCTACTACTAGTGTCAGTCTGTTGCTGTTGCACGCCAGCATTGCCCCTCGTCTGCCCCACCAACGGCCCCATAAGGCTGTGCAGCAACGGCCCCGACGGGGACGTCTTGTCGCCTCCCCTTTGCTGTTGCTTGTCCTTGACCACGCCCATCGGCGGCGACAATTCCAGCAATTGGTTCAAACCCGGCGAACCGTCGTAATGCGCGTGCGCGTGCTCTGCGGGGGCGGACGTGAGCTCATGCGGACGCAGGCGGTCTTGTCGACGGGCACTGCTCGGGCCCGGTTCGCTGTCCGTCGAGGCGTCTTCTTTGAACGACAGACTTCGACATAACTGAAATGAAAATATTGATAGGTGTATGAAGAAATAGACACTCTGTGAGGGTATGCAACCCTGAGCTTAACGCTTGTGTATCAGGTCGCATATCTGGTGGTATGTGTCATGTGTTGGAAATGAATAAACAAGAGTTGAACCCGAGTTTTAATAACGCTGTCATTAATTACAAGCTATAACACACTGTCACGTGACAAAATCACGTAACCTTATCAGTAATTTGGATTTCTCTTCATTGATAATAGAGTGCCCATTCCTAGGCCAAACCCTTTTCAATGTTTTCCTTTTGGCAAATTTATAGTTTATTGATTGTATAATTTGACTCGTACTATATCTTTCTTTCTCAGCGATTCAGTTTGGTGTTGACGATCAGCAAAAAACTCTGTAGTTTTTCTCGGTTAGTTGGTTTCCTATAAAACATATATTCTATTCATGGACTAGCACCTTTTTTTTGTGAAACTCAAGTTTAGTCATTTTGGTTTGGGTGCTACGTCTTCCATTTCTGGTATGGGATTTTGACGCTCAGCGGTAATTTCTTTTTTATATACCTTCGGACCACGTGCCTTATCGCGTGTCCTGATGACGTTCGTTCAATATCTGCTTTCTTTTAGTCAATATAAACAGAAGAGAATCATCATCCTTTCTCCTCCAGTTGGTTGCATCTTGTTGCAGTTTTGCAAATTGGTGGTAAAAAAAACACTGATGTGAACAGGTAAAATATCATTCTAATTAACAATTTCATAGATCTTTATACATTATATTGCCTATTGAAGTTCTTAGAGACTTCTCGATTTTATTGGACACTCTACGTACTCAAATATGGGGGCAGTGCTTACATGAAGCCTTCTATTACATCGGTCATGATTTTGATTTTTGAGCTGCCATAACTTTTTAGAACAAGGGCATGTTAGTTTCACTCAATTTGTACGCCACGAGACAACTGTTTTGCTTGGACCAACCGTTAGATAGTATTTATCATTGTGTTTTGTTACTTAACCAAAAAAAGGCGTGGCAACACTCCACATATTCATTTTTCATAAAAAGGCATAGTCAGATCATTAAGTACCAATTATACCAACATCTTTACGTTGACGACCACAACCGAAGATCAACTTTTTGCAACTGGTTTTTGACTAAATACAGAGATGTGCGTTTTCCGTTTAAAATTATCTATTCAGACGACAGTCAAACAAATTTACGTCTAATGCAAGAAGGAAATTTTCAAGAGCGATTTGGTTTCAATGGCTGGATGGGTCTAATCTAAGAAAAACTTTTGGGGCCAATAATGTTCGATGGACTGCGCAAAGATTTCATCAAATAACGGTATCTGTGGTAATTTGTTGCCCAACAGAATTTTTATAATTCCATTAACAGGACAAAGAACTGAAATCTGGCATAAAATAAAAACAATACTGATTTGTTCAAATTTTGTTTACGATTTATTTAGCATGATTGCTACAATTACATTCTTTTAAAAAAACTACAATGATTACAAAACCCAACAATATTTAGAAAAATAAAATTTGCATCTCTAAAAGTTTTCAATGTCCATGATGATATATTACTTTAATTTTCTTTTGAAAATTCTCAAATTACAAGTAGACTTTATTATGATTATTTAGTTTATTAAATTCAAGTAATTCTTTCTGAAATATTCATTTGCTAGTTATATAAGTATTGCAATTTTTTCAATGAAAATCCATATTTTCTCTTGTACAATAATTGTGGTAACTATTATTTAATTATATGTAGTAAAAATGTGGCAAAGATGATCTTTTATTTTAAATATCAAAACAAGGATCTAATATGAAATTTTTATATTCAACCACTGCAAAATTCTTGTAACATAGATTTTATTTTGGTGTACTTATTATTCTCATAGCTTTATTTTGCAGGACTCTGAGAATAAAGCTTCATTGGCGGTGAACAAGATTGTTGAACGATATAGGAAATGCGGTACAATGATTGTATTGAAAAGTATTTTAATGGAATATGTGCTAAGACTATGAGATACCCTATAAAAGTTTTTTTTTGAAATTTAGCTTACTATCAACAATTATATATACCTAAATATTTAATTGATTCAACATTTACCATTTTTTCACCACTTATCTTAACTGTCATAGTATTTTCAATTAGGTAACTCGCTATTAGCATACACATTGTTTTCGAAGCATTCAATGTTTTATTTACATTTTGAAGCAGTGTCTATATTTTCATCTGATATATATATTAACGGATCATCTGCAAATATCTAAATTTTACAATAATAAAATATTACAAATGTCATTAATGTATAAAATAAAAAGTTGCGGGCCTAGTTTACTACCTTGTGGTACACCAACAGAAGTATTTTTTGAGCTTGATAATATAGATCCAATTTTGGCTATTTGACTGGTCAATTAAGTAGTTTGGTAGAATTATGAATACAGATCCTTTAAATCCATAGTGACGCAATTTTGTAAGTAATTTATTCCTGTCAATAGTTTTGAAGACAAAAAACACTGTTACTGTATCTTTCCTATTGTCCATGCATCTCCTCCAGTCCTCTAAACCATTTGTATTGAGTGTTTCTTCCTGAACTTTTCCAGCATCTTGCAGAACATTTATCGCGTATGTTGACGTACAACTCAGAATTCACCATATTGTAAACAGTAATTTATCAGGATAAATATTCTTGTTCCAACAATATCAAAACATTCACCCTTTTACACCAAATCTCACTATTATTTTGATTTGATTTCAATTTTGGTATAATCTTCTTGAAACAATTAATGTTTATTATTCTAGCCCCACTGAATGATGCACTATAATGTGATCTACAAAATACAACCCCTTTCCTGAATCTACGGTTGGCTGAGAAAGAATAGATAGAGGTATGTACCCTTTCTCATTTACCTTCTTATAAATGAACCTCTGCAAAAAAGAACGCGTCTCGTTCGATCCGGAGATCTGCGGAGAATATTTAAATATGCATCGGGGAAAAAACGAATTAAAAAAAAACACTATCGGTTACGTTTCGCTCTCGTGGAAATGTGTAGGAACAGGTTTTTTCGGGGCGAAAGGGGTGACAGGACAGCCTTATCTATTATTTAATCTGTTGAAAGCGTCAGCGCGTGACGGTAATTTTTAACGGATATTTTTGCTGGAAATGTCATCCGGCGAATGAATTCGTCCGTTTTATACGACATAAAAAATGTATCGGCCATTTCCACTAACGATCGAGTACCTTTTGCGTTGCACAACGGTAACTGCATGTTTCATGTGTTAAAATTTGTTAATGTATCATTTTATAGACATATACAGGGTGTCCCAGAAGTCGACGTCAAGCCGAAACCGGGTGATAGACAAAGTCATAACAGCTATCAGAAAAATATTAAAAAAAATTTTATGTATGTGTTTTGAAAATTATAGGTATTTGAAAAAGATATAGAAATTTCACACCCTACGGCAGTCTGTCAACTCCTGTTACTACAAATTTTAACTTTTTTTTGATTTTATTTTTACAATGTAATGATGAATAATGCATCTTCAAACTGGTGTCTCAACCTTACTGCCAACTTTTGTCGTTCAGGAAAAATTGCAACTTATTTCCCAACCAAGTATTCCAAAGTAAAACTTTGCTCAACTTTAACTGGCTGTACTGGAAAAAAATGTACTACGAGAGTTTGGCAAGTAACCTTTAAAGTTGGCGCATTTAATAACGATTCCAAAATGGTATAACACTTAGAAGATTACTCGTTAACTTATGCACAATTTTTATTTGAAAAAAAAACTGATGAAAATTTTTCAAAATTTCCTAATTAAACAGCGATTATGAAAACGCACAAGGACCCTTAAGGATAACTGTTTGCACAACAGTGGGCGTCAAAATGCTGCTGATGATGATTTACCTTTACAGCAAATGCTCAAACTGTTTTCCTTCAGCCGCAATACACGCTCGACATCTTCTTAAAAAAGATCGTGTTATTAAACGAGCGAATCCACGGTTACTAACAAACTCAGCTGCTTCCAATAGTCTTTGCCGTAGCTCAGCTACATTTTGAATCGGCTTGAAATACACTTTTTCTTTTACAGTTCCCCAGTAAAAAAATCTAAAGGATTCAAATCAGGTGATCGGGCTGGCCACGGTATTGTACCAGACCGCCTTATCCATCTGCCTGGAAAGTTTGATCGAGATACTCTCTTACTGAGAGTGCATAGTGCGCTGGGCAGCCATCATGCTGAAACCACATGTCCCTGTAAATACTCAGTGGCACGTCCACCAATAAATTTTGTGCATGATTTTTCAAAAAATCCAGTACTTCAGTGCGTGCAATAGAACTAAAAACAGGTGTGCTCAAAAGTACAGCTCATAGAATCTTGCAAAATCTTGGAATACTTGGTTGGGAAATAAGTTGCAATTTTTCCTGAACGAGAAAAGTTGGCAGTAAGGTTGAGACACCTGTTTGAAGATGCATTATTCATCATTACATTGTAAAAATAAAATCCAAAAAAAGTTAATATTTGTAGTAACAGGAGTTGACAGACTGCCGTAGGGTGTGAAATTTCTATATCTTTTTCAAATACCTATAATTTTCAAAACACATGCATAAAATCTTTTTAAATATTTTTCTGATAGCTGTTATGACTTTGCCTATCACCCGGATTCGGCTTGACGTCGACTTCTGGGACACCCTGTATGACACGCATTTTGAGCATTAAATTTTCGAAAAAACAGCTTTTACTCTCTGGGTAGATTCGATGGCGTTTATGTAACAGCGTGTCAAACTTTTTTTTGAAAATCGGATTTTCCTAAACATCAGTGGGGTCCCGTAAAACACCCTAACCAATATCTTTGACGAAAAATTTGTGCGCCACTGACTGATCTGAATTTTTTTAAACTTTTCGAATTAAGCACCTAAAAATACAACTTTTTTGGGTCCTGAGTTTCTTTCATATCTCGCGTCGTTTGAGAGATAAAAAATAAAAAGCATTTTATTGCATGTTTTTGATAATGAAGTTACACGAAAGTCGTCTTCTGAATTTTTTGCTCAGATTACACCTGCTTTCCATAAACAAAATATTTACATAACGTTTTTTATTGTTGCAATGTTTTGACAGTGTCGTTGCACATTCGTAACGCTGGAAATTAAAAAAAAAATCGAACCAAAAGAACTTCTTTTTAAAACAACACCTAGACTTTTATTTCAATGAAAACATTCAACAGTAAATAACACGAGACTTATAATATAGGGTGTTCCATGCGTTCCTTCTTTTTTAAAAGTAAAAAACACACTTTTTATGAGTGAGAAACCGAACTCTTTATTGAAAATTGTAGGTTGGTCTTTGCCATTTATGTATGGAATATAACATCGCACTTATGTCATCCGAACATCAAAATTTTCGATGACTTTTAAGGTACTTTTCAAAAATCCGCAGAGAAAATAGTGCAGCGGCGTTAGAAACAGTTTTTCAGCATGTTTTTAGTAGTGATTTCGGCACTGTTCTTGTTTATTTTTTTTCTTAGATAATTCAATGATACGCTTGAAAATTTGAAAGCGTATGCAACACTTCCCCCTGGAAACTGATATTCATATAGTCAGGTGCAGCATTGACAGAACCGAAAATATCAACAATACTTTCAACAAAATATTCATAAAGGGTGGATTTCACAATTTAACAAACCATTATTCTGCACCAATAGGGTACAAGTACCAAACAGTCCGTTAAATATACCCAATCAGCCTCAAGATCTCTCCGTCAAAGTTTTGGCAGCAAATAGCATCAAAGTATTCAAAACAAAATACTGTAAAATATGAAGTGACAGCTTGCTATTGAAATCTTTTCAGTTTATTAAATATTATGAAATTATGTAAAACTGAGCCAAAATATTTAAAAATGCTTGATGTCTGAGTAAAATCTATTTTTTCAGATTAGCTGAAGGTTTTTCCATGTTTACTGCAACTTTTGTAATCCATATGTGATTGATTATATCACCTACTGTGTGCTTATAGTTTATCCTATATTTGCAAACTTGCACTTCCAAACCCTTACATGAAAAAGCCTTTTCACTCAAATTTTTGTCAGGTGTTGCATTTCAACACATTCATACACTTCTTTCTAGTTCCTCAACGATATTTTAACCCCACTGGTCCGAAACTGTTCAACAGTTTCAACATTCATACATACAATTGTAGTTGCAGTTCTTTGTTTTAATTTCAGAGTATAATCAGTCGCACCATCGGTGATGGTACATTCAACATAACCACGTATTTAGGGGTTCGTGCAGATTTAACGTGTACACGACGTCATCATTAGGCGCTCCTCTGGCGATGTCAGATTGCGTTCAGGTGCCTTCTGCAGGTACCTCTTCACCACGGTCAGGAGTTGATACCAGCGCGGCTCTCGTTATTTTTTTGCTCTAGGCATGGCCATCCTCAATTAATCGCACAAAAAACAAGTCCAAATTCGTCAACAACTCTAACAAAAACAACACGCCTGGCTTTGACCGTAAATCGTCGTGGAACACGAGACGCCACAGAATTATTATAATTACGTCAATACGAGCATAGAACAGTATAGAAAGGGCTATCCAAGAATAAGACGAGTTAAGAAACCACCCGAATCATGTCAAAAAATGGCTGTGACGCCACCAAAACATTGACCACCACTGGAAATCACTAGCTAGTTACCATCTGGGGGCGTAACACGTGGAGGACACTGGTGTAGAAACAGTTGATCCTTAAATTCGGTTACGTTAAGTCGTGCATGAGCCCGACATAATTTTTCAGTAATTACTAATAATTTTAGGTCTATGTCTACAGTAATTGCATTATGCACCTCGGAGATGTAGGGATTAACATGTTTTACACATATCGGTGTTTTAGGATGAGGACGACATATTGTTTTGATTGCTTTGAAGATATTCATTAACCCAAGAATTTATAACAAATGATTACTATTATGATGTAAAGAGAGACGAGGAATTGGTTGGAATACATTTTATATTCTATTTTCTTGCAAATCCGCACAATTCAACAGGTATGTGTAGCTATAATGATATATAATATACACACAGTATATTGAACTTAACAAATTTCGAGATTGCCATGAATTAACAAACGACCAAACCTGCTGCCAAATTTAACAGCTAGAAAATCGACCTATTATTTCTCCCATTCCTATTCGCTGAGGGGATAACGGATTGTTAAATGTAAACCTATAACATATATCAAAATACATGAAAATCGTCCTGTTTTTTCTGTACAAAAGCATCATGTTGGAATCAAAAAGTGGTCTTGTTTATAATACAGTCGAATTTTTACGATTTTATTCAACATTTTAATAGAAATCACTGATATTCTGAGACATTTGACAGCTTCCGTCAAATTGCATTTCGATAAGGTATTTTCCTATTGGCCCATAATAATAATAATGTTGGTGAAATCGGCCCTTAGGTTGTTATTATTATATCAAGTCATTAAAATTTTATAGAAATTTATTTTGCGATGTCAATATTAAATACACATCAACGCCTAGTTGTGAGGCACTGCGAAAATGTATGATGTGTGATGGGCCATTTCTCATTTACACCTAGCCTGCAAGATGACATTTTGACGTTTTTTTTTTTGAGGTTTACATAATTCTCCTGCCGACCAGAGTCCTATGAGCATGAAAACCACAGGATACGTTACATATTAATCGATGGTTATTATTTGCTCGTATTTTGATTCTATTATGTATTAATACATTATTATTATTATTATTATTATATTGTGTCTTACCAACGACGAAATAGGCCGTCTGAGATCAGGTGGTGGTGGTTGCAAGTTGCCATTGGGCGCGGGGCTTTCCAATAACAGCGGCGACGTACCGATGTCGAACAGTCCGGGACTCAGTTTCATGTCCCGGAGCAGCGGGTCCATCGGGGGTACCGGAACCGGTCGTTGCCGATTCGACAACATCGGAGATGTCGTCTCCGGACACAAAAATACCTGAAACGAATTAAACAATTTAAAAACGATATAACACTGTATAGGATTTCTGATCTTAATTGAAACTACAGTATATTCAGATAAGAGATAGACCGGACATAAACAAGACCACGTGACCATCGAACGCTGTAACATTCGGCAGGGACGTATTAAGAGTCACGCAGTACATATTTTAGATAGTAGATGCTGCTTTGCGTAACTTTGTAGTAAATTAGCACAATTCGATGTGTATACGATTGGTGATGAATATAGGATCATGTGGGGGTGGGGTAAGAAATATATAATGATGTAAATATACATAAGGGTTTCAAAATTTTCGCTTTGATTTCCAGCTTCGGATGCCGCCTGATGTTTGGTGAAATACAGTCGAATATAATCTCAAAATGGCGTTTAAATTAGCCTAAATTAAAAATAATCGTATATCTCTTAAAATTGCTTTTAGAATATTGATTAGTATATTTTTTGATTTCTAGGTAAATATGTAACCAAATTAAAACGTTCAAAACGTAAAAAAATGTGCATGGTTGAACATTGTCAGAAAGTAGATTCTTGAATAGGTTTTGCCAAAATGGGTTCAAAAATGTCAATAATTAATTAAAAAATACAGTAGCTTTATAATTACTTATAACTTACCGAATTTGATGAACGACATCTTTTATTGGAAAGATGAGCTTGATGAGCTTTCATCATCGCTACTGCCTGAAGCACCAATGTCAATAATGAATGGCTCGACTTGTTCCTCTAAAATATTGTCCAGTTCCCACATTCTCTTTTCAACTTTGTCTTTCACGTGCTTAATACAGTTTTCCCATTTTTGCGCTGTTATTAATTCTAGTGCTTCTTTGAAAAGTCCTTTGAGGTCACAAAATTTAAAAGTTGTATTGTGCTTAGCTATATAATTTTTAACCTCTGCCCATATGAGCTCAATGGGATTGAGCTCGCAATGGTATGGAGGTAAACGGAGCACAGTTTTATTTTGACTTGCTGCCATTTCGTCAATGGCGTATTTTTGATATTCCGCCTTGTGATCCTTGACAATTCTTAATAATTGTACTTTCAGCATTGCTTCTTCAAAGTTGATATTTTTCGAGCGGAGCCAATTTTGAACATCAACTTTCCTTGAAGCCGTTGTTGGGACCTTCTCCATTCTTCGAGAATGATAAGGCGCATTATCCAACACAATTACTGCGTTTTCCTCTAATTTCGGTAAAATTTTTGAAAACCACTGTTCAAACGATTCGCCATTCATTTCCTCGTGGTAATCTCCAGTTTTCTTAGACTCAAAGCACCACAGACCGTCAACAACAAATCCATCCTCACTGCCAATATGGCAGATAATGAGCCTTTTCCCTTTACCTGGAAATCGAAGTACTAACTGGTGTAGATTTATTTCAATAAGCGAACCTTTTTCAAATGTTTTCATCACATTCAGCGAAAAAACATTGAGACATGAGTATCAGATTGCTATAATTGGGATTATTTAGTCATATTGAAAGAAAGAATATTGAACGTCGTATGATTACTCAGCGCTTCACAATTTAATTTAAAGTTATAAACCTTTAAAAAATGAATGATCAGGAACCTGAAATACGTGCAAATATTAATATTAACAAATTATAACTTTATAAAGCTTAAAGTATGAATTAAAATGATTAGAAATATTAGGAACGGTACACAATATAAAACTTAGTAACTTTTTTTAAGTTTATAATATTCGACATATTTTAAGATAATATTAAAAAATTATTGAAATATCGAAAACACATAAAAACATGGCTTAAAAAAGTTCTAACAAATGAAAATGACAATAAAACATCCACGCATTTTATCGAAAGTTATAAAAGTTTTGTTACTTGTAATATGTTTTATCTGCCCCCTGGAATTAATGTTTAGAACTTTGTTCCCAAGGTTTGAAAAACATCCGATTGTTGTCTATTACTCGTATTTACCTGCTGGATTTTTTAATCCGGTGGACAGTCCATCTAGAAAGGCCCTCCTGGATGAAGTTACAGAATCATCAACCCATACTTTACTTGTAGTGTGTCCTGCGTTTACCCACGTTTCATCAAGGTAATAAATCTTCCTGTTTTGATTTCTATATTTCCCAATTTTTGTTAAATAATCCCTCCTCCATAGCACAATTTCTTCTCTATCCAGTAGTAAACTATTACGACCCCGTTTTTTCCATTTGAAATTTAAATGCTTCAGTAACGCATGGAAAGTTGATCGTTTGAAATTTGGCAACGTTGTATCTCCATTTACCCCCTGCAGTACTTTATCTATAGTAGGTATTTCATTCCTAAAGAAGAATTCATGCACTTTCCTCCTAATCGCATGCTTATCAGCTTCATCCAATGATTTAACAATACTTTTGCGATGTTTACTGGTCATTGGCTCAGAAAAGGTGTGATTTTTTTTGTACTGTCTTAACACATTAAACACTGATGCGCGACACACCCCAACTTTGTGAGAAACCTTCACAACAATTTCTTTGACGGTTGATGCCTCGTTCTCCTCGCGCTCGATCTTATATATATTCAAAATGACCTCTTTCATTTCTGCACTCAGGTGTCTTTTTTTAGAGCGTTTCCTAGGTGGACTACAGGAGTTTACAACTTCATCGGCAGTATCTGTACTACTGGGCATTTTGCGCAAGCAGTTGATAACAATAACAATCAATAACAAGGTATAACAATAACAACGACAAACTCAACAACTTAATAAGATAACAAACGAAAACGTCCAAAGAAATATCAAATTGCAATGATGCACACGACATACGTAACACGTCTGAACCTGAATGTGACTCTGCCTTGATACGACTGCTCTGCCGCTCGGCATAGGCATTTAATTGCGAATTGACCAATGAGGGCTCCTCTTTTACGTCGAGACGGCGGCGTTAGCGTGAAAATCACCCGAACCTTTTGTTTACATCCGGTCTATCTCTTATCTGAATATACTGTAGCGGAGAAACAATGCCAAGTATAGGAAGCTTTCTCAAATCCAACTTGTACCACAACAAACTTAAGGAGAAGGTAGGCTTTGGACTCACCTCCCAAATAACAAAAACTAACCTACAGTAATGGACAAAAGTATATAGACAAATATGAATATTTACCTAAATACCTTTAGAAAACGAATGCATACTTCATTGCTTTATAAACAAATGCGTTATTGACAAATTGGATAAGGCTTTCGCGGCCAGTTGATAAACTGCTGTCTTGATTCGGGTCTAAAGGCCATCGTCGGTTGGAATTTCTTCCTTCCTTCCCAAGAAGAAATTCCATTAAATGCGTTATTAGTAGAAAAACTAAATTCCTTGTTTTTACATTATCTGCAAAAATAGAAAAAGTCTTTTCAACATTAGTTTGGTTCAGTTTCGTGTCAGAAGAGGATTAGCTTGTGTTGAGTGATTTTAAGAACATGCCATGTGGTCCAGAAATTTCTGTCGATGTGAAAACTGAGATCATTGAGTTATACAAAGATGGTTAACGTCAAGTCGACATTGCCAAAAATTTGAAGCTGAAGCGTAAAGCAGTTTGGGCAATATTGAACAAATATAAACAGAAAGGTATCTTGGAAGCCCCTAAGAGAAGTGGTCGGTCTAGAAAACTGAATGCTATATCAGTTAAATTAATAAAAGTAATTTCGTCCAAAGATCCGTTTAAAACCCCAAGACAAATAAAAACCGAAATCGAGACAAAAGGAATTGTCAGTGTTTCTACGAAAACTATAAGTAGAAGATTAAATGATTTGAAGTTATTTGCACGTCGCCCGAGTAGGAAGCCGCTAATCTCGAGGAAAAACCGTAAGGACCGATTACAATTTGAACGATTGCATCTTGATTGGAGCATCTGTGACTGGAAGAGGGTATGTTTCAGTGACGAATCCAAGTTCAATATGTTTGGATCAGACGTTAGACGTCCTAGTGTACGAAGATTGAACCCCAAGTACACTTTGCCCACTGTCAAACATGGAGGCGGGTCTGTTATGGTTTGGGGGTGCTTTTCCCGGTTTGGGATGGACCTTTACATAGGATAGATGGCATTATGAATAAGTTTGTATACACAGACATACTAAAGCATGTCATGTTACCCTATAAGGAAGACAATATGCCCTTAAGATCAATCATCCAGCAAGATAATAACCCGAAGCAAAGACATTCTTTCTGGATGAAAAAATACCAGTTCTCAAATGGCCTTGACAGTCACCCGATATAAACCCCATTGAAAATCTATGCGAATACTTAGATAAGCAAATACGAGATACAAATTATTCAAACAAGGATGGACTTTTTGCCACTTTAGAGCAAAAGTGGAGACAGATTGATGAATCTTATATCAAGAAACTTCTACAATCTATGCCGAGACGATGCCAGGCGGTGATTGATAATAATGGTTATGCTACAAAATATTAACACAAACATGGTTGGTTTTCTATAATTCAATGAACTTTGCTTCTTTTTTCTATAATTGTTTTGCTTTGTCTATATATTTTTGTCCTTCATAGTTCCAGTTTTTTTCAATTAATTTTTAATCAAAGGGAGTCTAATGAATTTATTTATGTATAAGTGAGTATTATGCTTTTATTATAGTATATGTACATATATACAGGTTGGCGTATTAATAAAACAAGTTAAAAAAGAAATACAGCACATTATTAATTTGTCTATAAACTTTTGTCCATTACTGTATATAAGTGTCACCGTTATTGAAATATTGAATTTTTCTTTAAATTTATGAAAAAACGTGGGGCCTTTTCCTGCACGTACAGATAAGGTTATACTTTGTTCATTTTTTCTAAAAAATACTTCTAGATACAGTGGAATCACCTTATAATGGAAACCCGTATATAATGGGACACAATTTAAGGCCCTACAAATAATTGCATGTAAAATCCTCGGATATTATAGACTCGCTTATAGCGGAACTATTTTGATCAATTATATGCGAGCTATTTTGGAAGTTCCCCGAAGCAGATTTAGCTGATGCAATCGTTTGGTTTCGGAGTTTGCATTCGAACTTGGCCACCAGTTTTATACTGTATTTATAAGAGTTATAAACATGTCGAAAAGTGCGAAACGTGCATTCACTTTACACGAAAAGTTCACAATAATTAGTGAGTTTGAACAGGGTTCATCTCAAGCAAATATATATACAGGGTGACTTTGAAGTTGAGTCATTAATTTTCAGATAATGATTGTAGAAGGAAGATAAACCAAAATATGTTTGTAAAAATAAAAAAAATAAAAAAAAAAATTTACCTTGTTTTATAAAGTATCCTCCCGACAAGTATTTCAGTGCGGACCTGTATTTGATCGTGAGGTCCCCTGTGAGGTCTTAAGTCACCTGATTCACGAGCCCGTTGTACTACATTAACAAAGGCACGAGGGGTTGGTTGCACTCGATTGGGAAACCGATCCGCATAAACATGCGCCATTTTTTATTTCGTTTAAGCCACGCAGCAAACACCACTATTCACTCACGCGTTCCCGACTAACACATTGACTGAATAAAAACTTCGTGATCAGCGTTTCAAATTCTTTCGCTTTTTTGTTTCCGATGCGATGAACCGAAAAGGCGGATTATATCCGTTGTTGCCAAACACGAACACATAATATTATTATTGAGACAAGGCGGTACTCAAACTTCTAAAGGGCTATAACTTTGTTACTTTAATTTTACCACAAAAATGTTAAAGGAAAAAACATTTCTTTTGATCAGATCTGCTCACTGTTAAAATAAATGACTCAACTTCGAAGTCACCCTGTATATATATATAGAGAGAGAATATGATCATGCGCTGATGTAATCGTTTACAGCGGTTTGGCTTCGCTGTTTGCATTCGAACTTGGCTACCAGTGTTATACTGTATTTATTAGAGTCATAAACATGTCGAAAAGTTAATTAATAATTTAATATACATTATATATTAATAATTAGTGAGCTTCAGTAGGGTTCATCTCAAGCAAATACAGGGTGGCGCATCGAAAACGAAACAGACGCATTTACTGGCAGCTCAGTTTTATTTTTTTTTAAAAAACGCTCAGACCCGTCGATTTTGTTTTCGAGGGGGACACAAGTTTGGCAAAAAATCACGTTAGCACGTGCAGCCCCCTAAGCGGTGTGACACCACCCCCAAAATCTTAAATCGAAAGGGGGGTCGAGTGATACCTTATTTTAATGGTCTTAGTCTCAAAGCTGATCCTCTGATACCATAGGTTTCTGGTTTTCTACACAGAGTTTTCTGGTTGACGATGTCAAATGCTTTTGACAAGTCAACGCACACAGCCATAATTAATTATCATTCAATGATTCCAGGATATCAGAGAGTGCCTGATAAATCTGATTCTGATTCTCCGATATAACCGAGTGCCTCTCCAAGTAGCCTATTAATCTACTATAAATTATTTTTTCGTAAATTTTACTTAAATTTGGCAGAAGAGATATGGCCCTGTAATTGTTTTCATCATCAAGGTCATTCTTTTTATGTATTACCCTAACTACTGCATTCTTCTACAAATCCGGAAATATTCCTGCAGTCAATGATAAATTTATTATACAGGGTGGCGCATCGAAAACGAAACAGACACATTTAGCCCCCTGGTCGGGAGTGACACCAACCCTAAAATCATAAATGCAAAGGGGGGTCGAGTGATACCTTATTTTAAATGTCTTTCAATTCCCTTTATAATGATATGAAACTAATGTACTTCAGTTCAGTAGTTTTGAAGATTTATTGATTTAAAGCTTAAATAAAACTAATACATCATCATTAGTGGAGATCAATACATTTGGCAGCAAAGTAATTTAAAAATGAAGAATGAACTGACCCGTTAGGCAAGTAAATGTTGAAAATGGCCACCATGACTCTCCATGCTATAATAAAGATTTTGCTCAAAAAGTTGCCGCACATTTTGCAATATTTGAGGAGTAATTTGAAGGCATTCATTCACAATTCTTTGTCGCAGGTCTTCTAATGATGTTGGCTGAGTAACATAAATTTTGCTTTTTAAATAACCCCACATAAAGAATTCCAAAGGTGATAAATCTGGCGATCTTTGAGGCCATTCAATGGCACCTCTTCTACCAATCCATCGATCCGGAAACGTCTGATCTAAATATTGTCGAACACGAAATGCGTAATGTGGTGAGGCACCATCCTGTTGGAACATCAACCTATTCGCAATGTACCGCCGATCATTCTGATTTTCAATTATGGCTGTTAATGCAGGATCTATGACGTCTTCCAGTAATTCCAAATACATTTCACCGGTCAAATTTCCAGGTAAGAAAAAAGGACCAACTAAATATCAGCCCAAACATTTAATTTTTGTGGCTGCTGTGTATGAACCTCATGATAAATTTTGGGATTAGAATCGGACCAATATCGGCAGTTACGACGATTTACTACGCCATTTAAGAAAAAGGAACATTCGTCGGAAAAGCAAGTGTTGAATAGAAAATGTTCATCGTTTATAATTCGTTCACTCATATCTTCACAAAATTGTAATCGCCGATCAAAATCGTCTTCATTAAGTTCTTGTACCAGGTGAATTTTATACGGATGAAAACTATGGGCCTCTAGAATCCGTTGGACAGAACTTCGACTAACACCACACACAGTCTCCAATTTGCGGGTACTTAACGTAGGATCTACATAAACTTGCCCTAAAACCCCCACTTCCATTGCTTCGTTCCTTATGGTGCGTTTTTTATTGGCGACTGACCCAGTATCCCGAAATTTAGCTACAAGTTCTAGAACATATTTTCGATGCACGTTACTGTTCTCATGTCGCTCATTAAATATTTCTGCTGTTCTATTAGCGCACTGATTATTTCCGAAAAATATTTCGATAATTTCAACTCTTTCTGCTGTGGAATATACCATGGTTAATTTATGTAATAAAGCGTTACAAGTTATTTTAGCAACAAAGTCTGGTCAAATCAATCGCAAACTATGTACTAAATTCATATTTAAAATAAGTACGAGATATTTGCTGCCAGTAAATGCGTCTGTTTCGTTTTCGATGCGCGATGTGCTCATATGGCTAAAAAAAATCCACTGTGTCAAATATTTGGAAAAACCGTGACAAAATTAGAAATGACTGGAAATCAAATAGTCAAAAGAAAAAAATGCGGCTATCGCTGCGTTCCCAAGTCGATGATATGCTGTTTAAATAGTTTCAACAAACGCGTGCTAATAATTTTCCAATAAGTGGACCTATGCTACAAATAAAGGCTGAAGAATTTGGGAAATTAATTGGAGATTATTTCAAATGTAGTTCCGGTTGGCTAGACAGGTTACTATTTGGAATACAAAAAAGTGATAGCTGCATTTGTTAAGTGACTGACACACACTACAATATAATTATTGGATTTAAATTCAAGTTGCACTTGTTACCGATCAGTGACATGCTAAATAGTACAAAGCTACATTATTATTACCTGCTCCTGATATGATTTTATGGAAGTTGAAGAAACAATATCAGAAAGTTATAAATTCCAATTTTATCATGGTCCCTCAATATCTTTTAACTACATTGCATTTGTATATGATAAAGCAACTATCTAAAAGTATTTTATACAAGAAATGAACAAAGTATAACCTTATTTGTACATGCACCTAAAGACCACAGATGAAAAGGTTCGTATTTTCTAAATTTAAAAAAAAAATCAATATCTCAAAAACGATGACACTTTTATACAGGGTGTTTCAGTTTATTGTTGCATAACTTTAAGATTCGATAGAACTTTTAAAATTAATGTATAAAGTCTATATAAACATGGGTCGAAAAATGCGTGGCTTCCGAAGTACAGGGTGCTTAAATTTACTTTCTAAAATAGTTTTTTTTTTTAAATTTTTCCAACAATATTTGATGTATAACAGTGAAAATTGGTATACAAGGGTTTTTTGGTACGACAAAACGAACCATGGGCATATTTTACTGTAGCCGCTAGAGGGCGCTCTCTACTGTACCTGTAGTGTATTAAAATGACCAAAAATTTTTTTCGAAAAAACGTTTCAGGTTTCAACAGACAACAAAACTAACTGTCAACTAATTGACGTTTAACCTTATTCTGCTTTCAATTTCAAAAATATTTGGAGGCACAGCCTACTTCTCAAAATTATCGAGATACTGACTTTTTAACGTTATTTTATCAGAAATAATTAAAAATGCATCGAACCATAAAAATCGAAATATCTCAAAAACGGCTAACTATAACGAAAATTCACAAGAGAGCTTTTTTATGTTGAAAAGTGCGAAGAATCTGTGTTTTTATTCAAAAAGCAAAAAATTCCATTAAGAAAAAATTTTCGGTCATTTTAATACACTACAGGTACAGTAGAGAGCGCCCTCTAGCGGCTACAGTAAAACTAGCCCATGGTTCGTTTTGTCGTACCAAAAACCCTTGTATACCAATGTTCACTGTTATACATCAAATATTGTTCAAAATATTTAAAAAGAAAGTAAATTTAAACACCCTGTATTTCGGAAGCCACGCATTTTTCGACCCATGTTTATATAGACTTTATGCATTAATTTTAAAAGTTCTATCGAATCTTAAGGTTATGCAACAATAAAGTGAAACACCCTGTATAGGTAAGTTTTTTTACCTTCTCCTTAAGTTTGTCGCGGCACTTATTGGACACCCTATTTATCTAAAGGTAACAAAACTTTTTTGTCAAGTTCAAAGTTTTCTGCTTATTTTAAAAACATTTATATGCATATACGTTTTAAATGTCCCAGGTTCTTTAATATACCCAGTTTTCATTAAAACACGATTTTTCTTGTATTCCTTTTCTTCTTTTTTTAAAAAGATGGTGCGTCACATGTAATCGCCACTATCCGAGCTTGACAAATCGTCAGCATACAACAGAATCAGAAAAGCTCCGAGAATTGTACCCTGTGGTACGCCGACGTTTATATCTTTCGGTCAAAACGTGAACTCACCTCTATTTCCCCATCCTCGCTCTTCATCTGAATGGTGTAGTTGTCAGTCTTCTCACCCTCTGCTACCGTCGGCACCGACAGTTGCGTGTTAGGGGGCGCCTTGATCGCCATCACAGTCGTGTGCCGGAACTTGGAGATCGACCTAAGGTCCTGGTACGTTACATAACCATACCTATCAAAAAAACACTCATAATACTATTTTAATAATTTACTTACTACAAAAACAGTAGACTAGGCACCTACCTGTCATTATTAAGCTTCCTCAGTTCCCCCTCAGCCGCCCTGATCATCGTATCCAGCGCATTTTCCAGATTTTCCAGCCTCTGCATCCGGCGTGACATCGCCGGAAAATCCCCCCCGCTCCTGGTGGCCGCCTTGAACCCGGCCGCGCCCTTCCACTGGATGTTGTTCTTCGACTTCTTCTCCAGGATGCCTATGCCTTCCAACACGTTAGTGATGTCGTAGATGCGCCGTTTTTGAACGCCCAGGTCTTGCGAGGCTTTGTTCAGGTCCACGACGCCGTCCGGCGAGCGCTCGAGGAGCTCGGAGAACTTCTTCGTCAGCAGACTCAGCGAGGTGTCGTACCTGGTGTAATTGGGTCTTTGAAAGCAAAACGGACTAGGTTAGCTAACGCTACAGTACTACGTGTACGGTTAGTAACATGCTTTATCAGGCAGAAATCGGCGACCAGGAGTTCCCAACGGTGCTGCCAGAGCGAAGTTTAAAATATCCGTCACACGTATCGCAAAATTCCGCTACATGCCGCTACGGTCTAAAAATTTAAGGGGGGGGAGGCTTAAAATAAACAACAAATATATTTTTTACATATTTACTTTTTTTTAAACACTGTCTAAAAATCCAAACAGTAACATAATATAATTGCAATTTTTCGTAAAAACGTAAAAAGTATACCTCTAAAAAAAACAAAACTGTCTTTGGTTTAGAATTAGGAACTAATAAAAAAATAGAAACTATCACCAATATCTTAATCTTGATAGAAAAAAAAAACAAAAGTAAGGACAAAGAAGCGGAAACGTGGAAATGCCTACGTTTGCTTATTTTATTCATAGTCAGAATCAGAAATTACTTCTTCTTCAGCTTGTTCTTCCTTATTTACATTATATAAATTCTTTTTATATTTGTTTAAATGATTCTCATTAAAACTATAGGATAAACAGCACTGTTTTTTTGATTCCAAGTCTAATTTAATAATATAATTGTACTGCAATGACGGTAATGCGTGTGCGTCGTGTGTGGATAGAAGAAGCGGAAACGTGGAAATGCCTACGTTTGCTTATTTTATTCACAGTCAGAATCAGAAATTACTTCTTCTTCAGCTTGTTCTTCCTTATTTACATTATATAAATTCTTTTTATATTTGTTTAAATGATTCTCATTAAAACTATAGGATAAACAGCACTGTTTTTTTGATTCCAAGTCTAATTTAATAATATAATTGTACTGCAATGACGGTAATGCGTGTGCGTCGTGTGTGGATAGAAGAAGCGGAAACGTGGAAATGCCTACGTTTGCTTATTTTATTCACAGTCAGAATCAGAAATTACTTCTTCTTCAGCTTGTTCTTCCTTATTTACATTATATAAATTCTTTTTATATTTGTTTAAATGATTCTCATTAAAACTATAGGATAAACAGCACTGTTTTTTTGATTCCAAGTCTAATTTAATAATATAATTGTACTGCAATGACGGTAATGCGTGTGCGTCGTGTGTGTATTGAAGAAGCGGAAACGTGGAAATGCCTACGTTTGCTTATTTTATTCACAGTCAGAATCAGAAATTACTTCTTCTTCAGCTTGTTCTTCCTTATTTACATTATATAAATTCTTTTTATATTTGTTTAAATGATTCTCATTAAAACTATAGGATAAACAGCACTGTTTTTTTGATTCCAAGTCTAATTTAATAATATAATTGTACTGCAATGACGGTAATGCGTGTGCGTCGTGTGTGGATAGAAGAAGCGGAAACGTGGAAATGCCTACGTTTGCTTATTTTATTCACAGTCAGAATCAGAAATTACTTCTTCTTCAGCTTGTTCTTCCTTATTTACATTATATAAATTCTTTTTATATTTGTTTAAATGATTCTCATTAAAACTATAGGATAAACAGCACTGTTTTTTTGATTCCAAGTCTAATTTAATAATATAATTGTACTGCAATGACGGTAATGCGTGTGCGTCGTGTGTGGATAGAAGAAGCGGAAACGTGGAAATGCCTACGTTTGCTTATTTTATTCACAGTCAGAATCAGAAATTACTTCTTCTTCAGCTTGTTCTTCCTTATTTACATTATATAAATTCTTTTTATATTTGTTTAAATGATTCTCATTAAAACTATAGGATAAACAGCACTGTTTTTTTGATTCCAAGTCTAATTTAATAATATAATTGTACTGCAATGACGGTAATGCGTGTGCGTCGTGTGTGTATTGAAGAAGCGGAAACGTGGAAATGCCTACGTTTGCTTATTTTATTCACAGTCAGAATCAGAAATTACTTCTTCTTCAGCTTGTTCTTCCTTATTTACATTATATAAATTCTTTTTATATTTGTTTAAATGATTCTCATTAAAACTATAGGATAAACAGCACTGTTTTTTTGATTCCAAGTCTAATTTAATAATATAATTGTACTGCAATGACGGTAATGCGTGTGCGTCGTGTGTGTATTGAAGAAGCGGAAACGTGGAAATGCCTACGTTTGCTTATTTTATTCACAGTCAGAATCAGAAATTACTTCTTCTTCAGCTTGTTCTTCCTTATTTACATTATATAAATTCTTTTTATATTCGTTTAAATGATTCTCATTAAAATTATAGGATAAACAGCACTGTTTTTTTGATTCCAAGTCTAATTTAATAATATAATTGTACTGCAATGACGGTAATGCGTGTGCGTCGTGTGTGGATAGAAGAAGCGGAAACGTGGAAATGCCTACGTTTGCTTATTTTATTCACAGTCAGAATCAGAAATTACTTCTTCTTCAGCTTGTTCTTCCTTATTTACATTATATAAATTCTTTTTATATTTGTTTAAATGATTCTCATTAAAACTATAGGATAAACAGCACTGTTTTTTTGATTCCAAGTCTAATTTAATAATATAATTGTACTGCAATGACGGTAATGCGTGTGCGTCGTGTGTGGATAGAAGAAGCGGAAACGTGGAAATGCCTACGTTTGCTTATTTTATTCACAGTCAGAATCAGAAATTACTTCTTCTTCAGCTTGTTCTTCCTTATTTACATTATATAAATTCTTTTTATATTTGTTTAAATGATTCTCATTAAAACTATAGGATAAACAGCACTGTTTTTTTGATTCCAAGTCTAATTTAATAATATAATTGTACTGCAATGACGGTAATGCGTGTGCGTCGTGTGTGTATTGAAGAAGCGGAAACGTGGAAATGCCTACGTTTGCTTATTTTATTCACAGTCAGAATCAGAAATTACTTCTTCTTCAGCTTGTTCTTCCTTATTTACATTATATAAATTCTTTTTATATTCGTTTAAATGATTCTCATTAAAATTATAGGATAAACAGCACTGTTTTTTTGATTCCAAGTCTAATTTAATAATATAATTGTACTGCAATGACGGTAATGCGTGTGCGTCGTGTGTGGATAGAAGAAGCGGAAACGTGGAAATGCCTACGTTTGCTTATTTTATTCACAGTCAGAATCAGAAATTACTTCTTCTTCAGCTTGTTCTTCCTTATTTACATTATATAAATTCTTTTTATATTTGTTTAAATGATTCTCATTAAAACTACAGGATAAACAGCACTGTTTTTTTGATTCCAAGTCTAATTTAATAATATAATTGTACTGCAATGACGGTAATGCGTGTGCGTCGTGTGTGGATTGAAGAAGCGGAAACGTGGAAATGCCTACGTTTGCTTATTTTATTCACAGTCAGAATCAGAAATTACTTCTTCTTCAGCTTGTTCTTCCTTATTTACATTATATAAATTCTTTTTATATTTGTTTAAATGATTCTCATTAAAACTATAGGATAAACAGCACTGTTTTTTTGATTCCAAGTCTAATTTAATAATATAATTGTACTGCAATGACGGTAATGCGTGTGCGTCGTGTGTGTATTGAAGAAGCGGAAACGTGGAAATGCCTACGTTTGCTTATTTTATTCACAGTCAGAATCAGAAATTACTTCTTCTTCAGCTTGTTCTTCCTTATTTACATTATATAAATTCTTTTTATATTTGTTTAAATGATTCTCATTAAAACTATAGGATAAACAGCACTGTTTTTTTGATTCCAAGTCTAATTTAATAATATAATTGTACTGCAATGACGGTAATGCGTGTGCGTCGTGTGTGTATTGAAGAAGCGGAAACGTGGAAATGCCTACGTTTGCTTATTTTATTCACAGTCAGAATCAGAAATTACTTCTTCTTCAGCTTGTTCTTCCTTATTTACATTATATAAATTCTTTTTATATTCGTTTAAATGATTCTCATTAAAATTATAGGATAAACAGCACTGTTTTTTTGATTCCAAGTCTAATTTAATAATATAATTGTACTGCAATGACGGTAATGCGTGTGCGTCGTGTGTGGATAGAAGAAGCGGAAACGTGGAAATGCCTACGTTTGCTTATTTTATTCACAGTCAGAATCAGAAATTACTTCTTCTTCAGCTTGTTCTTCCTTATTTACATTATATAAATTCTTTTTATATTTGTTTAAATGATTCTCATTAAAACTACAGGATAAACAGCACTGTTTTTTTGATTCCAAGTCTAATTTAATAATATAATTGTACTGCAATGACGGTAATGCGTGTGCGTCGTGTGTGGATTGAAGAAGCGGAAACGTGGAAATGCCTACGTTTGCTTATTTTATTCACAGTCAGAATCAGAAATTACTTCTTCTTCAGCTTGTTCTTCCTTATTTACATTATATAAATTCTTTTTATATTTGTTTAAATGATTCTCATTAAAACTATAGGATAAACAGCACTGTTTTTTTGATTCCAAGTCTAATTTAATTGTAAGTAGTGCAGACAAAGTTGATGGTATTATTTTATTTCTTTTTTTTTTGTTTTGTAATCAAGCATATAAGAAAAAGTTTGCTCAACATCAGCGTTTCCATGAGGCAATGTTAAAATGATTAGAGCCAGTTTACCTATATTGCGAAATGAATATTCGTCATTGAAATTTTTGAGGTCGCTTACAAACGACCAAAATTCAATGACATTACTTTTTGTTTTTAAAATTTCCTCTTTCTCACTATACATATTTTCTTTAGTTCCAAAATTGCCTTTTCGGTTTTAACATGAAGGGCAATTTTTTTTAAAACGGCGTCATGAAAGGTATCACTTATAATAAGACGATTGTTCATCACATCAACCGGTGAGAGAAACTTTAGCTCTGAAAACAAGTTGTCTTTGATAGGAAATCTTCTACCGATTTTTGGTAAAATGTGACACATTTTAATTTAAATTGTTCGATTGCCGTGTTATTGCAGTGTTTTATTGCATCCATTGTATGCGGACCAACATTCACTTGTTCAATTGGTGATAAGGATTTAGATTATACAGGGTGACTTTGAAGTTGAGTCATTAATTTTCAGATAATGATTGTAGAAGGAAGATAAACCAAAATATGTGTGTAAAAATAAAAAAAAAATAAAAAAAAATGTTACCTTGTTTTATAAAGTATCCTCCCGACAAGTATTTCAGTGCGGACCTGTATTTGATCGTGCGGTCTTGGAGCACCGGCATGCCCTCCCCTGTGAGGTCTTAAGTCACCTGATTCACGAACCCTTTGTACTACATTAACAAAGGCACGAGGGGTTGGTTGCACTCGATTGGGAAACCGATCCGCATAAATCCGTGATGCCGCGTAAATAAGAATCATATCCACAAGTTCAGCATTTTCGTAAACATGTGCCATTTTTTATTTCGTTTGAGCCACGCAACAGACACCACTATTCACTCTGACTGACACTGACTGTATACAATTGAATAAAATAATTGTAAAAACATCGTTCCAAATTCTTTCGCTTTTTTGTTTCCGATGCGATGAACCGATAAGGCGGATTATATCCGTTGTTGCCAAACACGAGCACATAATATTATTATTGAGACAGGGCGGTACTCAAACTTCCAAAGGGCTATAACTTTGTTACTTTAATTTTACCAGAAAAATGGTAAAGGAAAAAAACATTTCTTTTGATCAGATCTACTCACTGTTAAAATAAATGACTCAACTTCGAAGTCACCCTGTATAATTTCTCATTTTTTAAATATTCTGGTCGCATAAAGTTTGTACATAGATGACGTACAAATCGCTCACTCTCTATTGATATGATATTGAGCATAACTTTCTCTGATTGAAAGAGAGCATTAAATTGGTTAAAAATGGGCAACACGAATTTAAAAAACATTAAATACGCCTTAACAAATGGATTCTGTAACTCATTAAGTATTACATTTGCTACAGGATTTTTGTCTTCAATGGAAGCTAATCTAAATAGGCTAAGCAAGATGTCCCACTGATCCAAAACTCTATCAACACCTTGTTTTACTAGGGCTTAAGATTTTTAATTTTAACTTTTTGAAATATTCCTGTAATTCTTCAAGAACTCACTGCCTTTTTGAGCTTCTTGAGAAGTAAGAATATAAGTTTTGTAAAAGAGCTTCAACGTTGCTTGGAATCTTTTCAGCTGCCGCCACCGCCACTAAATGAGCAGAGTGGCAAATGCAGCCATTGACAATTATATTAGGATTATCTTTTGAAAGATTCGTTATTGCCCATCATAACTCTAGCGTTGTCGGAACAGTATCCAACAATATTGGTAATTTTTACTTGATTGGATATAACGTATTTTTTAAAAAGAGAATATAAACCTTCTGCGTTTATTTTAATTATACCTAATAAATGGGTTTTAATTGAATTTTTATGAATATACCTTACAAGAATGCATAGTAGTCTTGTATTGCTCAGGTCTGTACTCTCATCCAATAAAATAGAAAACGGTTTATTTTCCAATTCTGAAATTATTTCATCTTTTATAACAGGAGCCAGCACATTTTTAATTATACTTATGCATTTGGATCTTTTTTATTTAAGTGAGCTAGAGAGATCTGGGTCTTTAAAACATAATTGACTAACTCCTGTTATATGATCAACAGTTCTAAAACTTATATAATGACTTACAACTAAAAGACTATATCATAAGCAAGTAAATATTCGCCGTTTTTCCAACTCACGTGCTTCCCGAGACTGAAAAGTGCTATCTAACGTTCTTACATTCGAAATTGCTTGTACATTAGTGGCACGTCTTTTTGATTTCGAATGATTCACTAAATCTGATTTTTTAGCACCCATTATTTGTTACAAGCTTTACATTTTGCTTTCAACTTGTCATTTCCAATAGGTCCCGACCAGCCTTTAAATAACGGATCTTCTAGCCATGATGAAGTAAACATTTGTTTTCGTGTCTTTTTCTTAACAGGTTCCTCTGGCTCTTGGTTATCCTGAGATTCGCAAGTCGACTTATCAGGCTCAGACCTGATTCCACTAGATTCCGCTCTTCTATTTTGTCTGTATTCAGGTTCGGGATGCTCCGAGTCCGACACAGATGCAGTCGAAGTGGATGGTACGGCCACGTTTGGTTTCACCGTTTGTTTTTTAGAAGGATTTTTATCAAAAAAATCGTTAATGGTCTGCTGTCGCCTTTCCATTATTCCTATTTTACAGAAGAAAAAGCGTTAAAAACAAATTTCGAGACTAAGATTTATTTCTGGATCAAACTATAATATGTTAGATATTTAAGCAGTTTTGTTACTTACCAATAGATTTAATATTAAAATCTGCAGCAAATGATATATCAATAAAATGAGATAATATAAACGAAACTAAACAGAGCTGAAAAATACCAATACAAAGCGAGAAACCTAATATTATGTCTGCCTGTTGAGACCTGTTAGAAACGATTAGTATTGAAAGCAGTACGTACGCCATCTGTTATTGAAAAAAAAAGGCAAGTGGAATAATTCTCTTCTCTGTTCCTAGATGGCTCAAGCGGCACCAAATGCACCAATTTTATTATTGATAATAAATCAGACTCTAGCCACTGCCTATTTAGGATTTAGATCGTTATTAACGTTAAAACAGTGAAATAAATATGACAGTTTTGTATGTAATAAATTCCGCTACATTTTGGGCTAATTTGCTCTACCGCCGCTACGCCGCTCTTCTCAAAATAATCCGGAATTCCGCTACGTATGGCAACACTGGTTCCCAACCAGGAGAGCGCGCCTATTTATTACTTATTTGTTTTATTGTTATAAGTGCAACATGGCAGCGAAAAAAGAATGTGTTCCGAAGATTAGGTTAAGTTCGGATTTACCTTCATAGAAAAAGACGAGTTACAATTGCCTCAGTGTGTGATATGTTTGAAAGTTTCAAATAATGATGACATGAGGCCCAATCGCCTTGGAAGGCATTTGAAGCAACAACAACCCACTCTGGTTTTGAAGAAAAAAATCCCGCAATGGCTAGTGCACATTGTGTTATTCATCGGCAAGCTTTGGCTTCCAAAACATTGCCACAGAAATTACGCCAGACTTTAGACTCGGCTATAAGGATTGTAAACTACATCAAAAGCAGTCAGGTTATTTACTTTGCTTTGCGAGGATCGCGATTCTGATCACAAAGTCCCGCGTCGGGACGTCTACCCAGTTCTACTGACCTTGGACAGTTCAAAGATCGAATTAACAAGGTTTCAGGCGGCGCCCTGGTATTTAGGCTTCAGCTTCGTCATAAAAACGTCGTCGGTACCCACCTGTTGGTCTTCCTGAGCCCGGCCGGTTGCCTTTTCGGTCGTTTCGCCTGCGTCGGAGACGGTGAACTGGGCGCCTTAAATTCCCCCCGCGTGTTGATCGGGATCACGAATCCGCCGCGATGGTCCATGTTCAACTTCCGCTTCACAGGTGGCGCCACGGAAGGCGATGAAATCACCTACGCAAAAAAATTGTGATCAAACATTCATTCATTTACTTGCCGTTCATCAGAACCATTATGGCACCTTAGATTGATATTCCCACAAAACCATTCAGGTTTTTTGATATCCATACATCCATAAAGTTGAATATTTTTCGTTGTTCAGGAACTGAACAAACATCCACACTATATTCACAGCGATTAAGAAATTCCCAAATATATGCTTTAAAGCTACCATCAAACCTAAAACCTGCAAAAAAAACTACAAATTTGCCATATTTTTCTTTTTTCACGAGTATTATGGCACCTTAGATTGATATTCCCACAAAACCATTCAGGTTTTTTTAATATCCATACATCCATAAAGTTGAATATTTTTCGTTGTTCAGGAACTGAACAAACATCCACACTATATTCACAGCGATTAAGAAATTCCCAAATGTATGCCTTAAAGCTACCATCAAACCTAAAACCTGCAAAAAAACTACAATAATGCCATATTTTTCTTTTTTCACGAGTATTATGGCACCTTAGATTGATATTCCCACAAAACCATTCAGGTTTTTTTAATATCCATACATCCATAAAGTTGAATATTTTTCGTTGTTCAGGAACTGAACAAACATCCACACTATATTCACAGCGATTAAGAAATTCCCAAATATGTGCCTTAAAGCTACCAGCAAACCTAAAACTTGCAAAAAAAATTACAAATTTGCCATATTTTTCTTTTTTCACGAGTACACATTCTAGGTTATATTTATATTAGACATTATTTGAATACAGCTGATTATTGCATTTCAAGGGGTGACACATGTGTAGGATCTGTCAACTCTTGGTACCAGTCACAAAACATATACTCTGAAGGTTTAATTCCATGCTATTCAATGACAACACGGTGACTTGTGTGGTTGTCAGCGGCCATTTTTTGAGGGTGCAACATGGTTGCCACATTATTATTATTATTATGATAATTGAGATGAGCAGAGTACACAGTACTATAAGCTCATGCAGTAAATATAGTGTACGAACACATAACACAACTACATCAAATAGAAAAAAAAAATAAAAAAAGACAGTTCATAGTTATAAAGTTTGTACACTCCTCCAGCTATCATACTGCACTTTGAAGCCATTAACTGAAGTAGCACCAACCACACTTTCAGGTAAACTATTCCAGGTGTTGAATATGCGGTTGGGAAGAAACCACTGTCGGACTGTTGTTTTAAATGGCTCCTTATGCAGTTTGAAGCTGTGTCCGCGTAGATTGCTGCGCGTCAAACGGTATAGATGCATGAGGTTGGTGCCCATCAAACCATGAAGTATCCTGAACGTAACTATAAGATCGCCACGAAGTCTTCGCTCAGAGAATGAGGTCAGGTTGAATAATTCAAGGCGATCTTCATAGCTTGGTCTTCGTGCTTCAAAAGGGATACGAGTAGCCCGACGCTGTACTGATTCGACGAGATTTCTATCGCGCAGAAGCACAGTGTCCCATACCGGGCCAGCGAATTCAAGAATTGGCCTCACGAATGCCTTGTAAATGTAGGCGCAAGTGTTGACATCGGATCCTTTGAAAGACCTCTCCAGCATGTATAGAAGTTTCTTGGCTTTTGATGTAACGTGGTGAATATGCTCTGACCAAGAAAGACGATCGTTGACTAGAACGCCCAGATCAGTGTGGCTGGAAACTGCTTCGATGTTGTGGTCAGAGATCTTGTATGTAAATCGCGGATTTGTCTTCCCGAGGTGAAGGACACAACACTTAGTTAGATTTAAGGGTAAAAGCCAACTGACTGACCATTGACAAACAATATCAAGATCTCGTTGAAGCATAGCAGAATTTACGACAGTATTGTAAATCTTGGTGTCGTCGGCATAAGCTGAACATGTGGAGGAAATCAATGCGGGCAGATCACTTGTATACAGAAGGAACAGCACTGGCCCCAAGACAGAGCCTTGAGGAACTCCACTTGCTACATGATGAAGGTGAGACTGACGCGCACAGAGAAAGTCCTCCCGGTGAGAAAAGCCTTAATCCACAGCAACAACTCGCCTCTTATTCCCATACATTCCAACTTAAACAGAAGCCTTCTATGTGGTACGCGATCGAAAGCCCTAGAAAAATCTAAGTAGATTATATCAACAGGAGTCTTTGTGTCCAGATACTGAGTCCAATCGTTGAGAGAGTGGAGAAGGTTGGTCATTATTGATCGACCAGGGAGAAATCCATGCTGATTCTTAGGGATAAGGTCATTTTCGAAAGCAAATTACAGGAGCTTATCTAATATGATTCTTTCAGCTATTTTGGCGGCGATAGGAACGAGACTTATTGGTCGATAATTTTTAGCGGAGGATTTGTCGCCCTTATTGAATACAGGGGTAACAGAAGCACTAAGCCAGCATGAGAGTTGGGTATGAGATCTAAAAGACGATGTGAATATCAAGCTTAATGGTAGGGCCAGTGCTGAAGCGCAGTTTTTAAGTACAGCAGCCGTCATCCCATCTTTACCAGGGGAGGAAGAGGTCTTCAGATTACGCAGATGCATTAATACATCTTCAGGCAGGAACTCAACTTCGCAAAGGCTGTTGGGACACCTATGGCAGATAGTGGTCGGTAGAAGGTCTCGATTAGTCTCATCGACGAAGTCATCACTAAAGGACTCTGCCAGTAAGTTGGCAGATTCGGTGGCATCCATGTGGAGATGATCGTCAGCGTCGCGGATCTGAGGTGATGAAACTTTGGAATTCAGGTTTGTTCTTAGATACCGAAACAGCTTCTTCTTATTTTTGGAGGTAACGAGTTTTCGTTCATAAGCATGTTTGGCATTATGTAACGCTCTAGATAGGAGGTTAGAAAAGGATCGATGAGACACGTAATCTTGTGAATGGCCACTCCTCCTAAACCGTTGCCACAAAGATCTCTTGTGACGAAGCATCCTCGATATGTTAGAGTTGATCCAGGGCTTTGAGGGGTCACACAGTATACCTTCTTATTAATATTAATATCCCGTTTCACCCCCATGGTCCCAGTGGAGAAGTACGCCAACTTGAAATATACTCTGCTATGCTTTATAACACTATTCGTGGATTTTTTCCAAAATCGTTGCACAACACTTGAAAAAAAATTTTAAATTATTTCCATGACGCCCCAAAATAGCTGCGGGTTATACATCTTGCCAGTAGGGATGTTCGATACGATCCTTTATTTAGAAGTATCGATACTTTTGCTTCCCATACCCGACATTTTGGATCGATATTTTTATATACGGCTCTTGGGTGTATCGACACATGTCACGAGTATCGTCATCTTTCGATACGGACTGTGTCAGAAAGAGTGACTAACTTCAGATTACTTTTCTTCTTTGCTGGATATCGATAATTTTATTCTAATGTTTCAGAGTATCGATACTTCCTAAAACGATAAGAATCGATACATATCGATACTTTTCGTGGATCTAAACATCCCTAATCTTGACAGCTTGTCGTTCTTGTCAACTGGGCTGCAGGGCGCGGTGTTGCCTTTACCATCTTACTTTTTGGTAAAATCTTATGACAAATGAAAGCTTCAAATGAAATTTTGACGAATATGAACGGATATAGGATATAAATTCATATTGCAAATTTTAGATTGTCTATGCATGGACTTGAACCGGATTTTTCGGGATTTCTACCGAAAAGAGAACATTTAATAACAGACGTTTTTCATGACTCAAAGGTCCTTGATCTATCACTGATCTTGGGACGGCATTTACCTTATACCGAATTCAACAACACTACAAATTTACCGATTTCGTTTTTTTGCCGGTTCGGTAACACTGCATATGTGTAGATCACTTTAAAAGGAATTGATATCCAAGACGTGTTTTTAATAATAGAAATAATAAGAAAATATAACAATGTTTGGAGATATATTTTCATAAATGGGTATTTTTGATTCTGACATAAGATCTAGACGATGAATAATAGGTGGATGCGGATACTTTTGCATACATCGATGTTTTAGGACCCAGAAATGCAGAATGTGCTGTTTGTTTACATTTGATGTGGATTTCTAGATCATAAATTGGCAATTTTTTTTTGATCTAACAAAAGATGAACCAGTTGGAGTACGTTTTAAAACTTTTTTTTTTGCAAATAAAAATCAGTACATTTCTGCAGGTACGTGTCATGTACAACACCCTGTACGTGATATACAGATAAAACTATATTGCCATGCATGAACAGTCGTCAAAAATAGTGAAAACAACCTACGAAATATAATAGCTAGAAAATCGACCTATTATTTCTCTCATTTTGATTGGTCTATTTAAATAAGTGACCGTCTTTTGTGAAATGATAAAAATTTGAAATTCTATGAAACTTATCATAATTCTAAAGCACAAAGACATAGTATAACATCTATAATGTACCATGTTGCATTTCGATAAGGTCTTTTCCTATTGGTCCAATGGGTCGTTAAATATTAATGTTGGTGAAATTGGCCCTAAATTTACTAAATACTAATAAAATAAGTTTAAAATCAATGCCCACATAAATAAAATTTACCACAGTGAAAGTATTACGAATAAAGTACAATGTGATCAAAAGTAACGTATATAAAAGGTTAGGTAACATTTTTTTAGGTTTGTTCCAGGGAATCACGGGATATATGAAAAATATCGCACTGAAATTTGTTTGCATTTTCCAACATATTAAGAACTTAAGATTAAGATAACTGAAAAAAAGTTTCTACAATATCAATTACGAGATCGAAGATTCTACGCTGCTGCTCAGAAACGTGATCCATTAACAACGTATGTCCTAAAAGTCGTGATTTTTTTTTAATGAAGATATTTATTTAAACACTAACTAGTTATCATAAAAATTACAGCTCAATACTTAGCTAAACTATACTATCGAATTATGTGGAGCGGCCTATTCTGCTGTACCAGACGCACAAAAGGTTGGGATACTCCCCTATTAGAATTGCGCACCAGACAAGGATTTTATCTGCAAATGTCAGGGCATTCCTCTACGTATAAAATCCGTCGTTTCCCTTAATTTGACGAGCCAGTCTCTTTGTTGACATCCCAACATGATTTTTCGCTCTTCTCACCAATCTTTCTGACCTCTATGCAGTAAATGCACGTGGTCTTCCACTTTTTGGAAGATTCAGACATGGTATGGTTCGATAAATAGTTTTGCGTGAAATGTTTTCATTCTGGAGTATTCGACAGATCTCAGCTTTGGGTACCCGCCCCACCAACATGTAGATACTTTTTCTCATTTCTAATTAATACGACATCTTAAAGCGAAACCTTCAAAACAAATAAATGTCAACAAAGTAAGTAAACAAACTTTGATTTCCAAATGCAACTCGATATTATTTTGTGTTTGTTAAAATTAAAGGCGATGAATATTGTGCAACAAACGATATGTGATGTCAAAATTTGCAATGACTATTGCATACCTGATGAATCGGCGTGGCGCCATATCCGTGATCGATAAGATGGTGCGGGGGCGTGAATTCCTGCTTGACGTCGTACTGGCCCTTGACGTGCATCATGTGTACGGGCGTCGACGAGGTGGCCGTAGAGGAGGAGGAGTAACCGCTCACTCCACCGCCCCCGCGTGGGCTGGCGTCTGCTCTGGGGCGACCAGGGCGCGGCATCTTGCGGGTTCTGGCACCCCTAACGAAGGCGGTGGATTACCTGGTCCGTGTCATCTTTACAGTCTGCAAGAACAGGAAAATAAATAAATATATACAGTACCTTTCTTTAATGTCCCCCTCCCCTTTGATTTTTTGAACGAATCAATTCAAAACATTACACCTTGAGGTAATGAAATTTATATATTTTAGAGGAAAGTTGACAGATGAAAATGGCGCCATCTTGGAAAAAATATACGAAAACGGGGGTCTTGACATTTTGAAGCTCCTGACGAGTACTTTATAACCCTAGAATATAAAGTCAATACCTTTACCTACTACAAAATGGTGGTACATTTAATAATTACTTGAACCCAAACCCACTAACATGCATATACCTCTACAAATAATTGTAATTCCCTGCCGCATCCACAGCAACAGCGATAAAAACTTGTTTTGTTATTCTTTGTTGACAGTGACAAGAATATCGATACGAAAACAAACATCATTGTACAATTAAAATATTCTTATTTAGTTTTCGGTTTTAGTGCTAGATACTGTTTGAACTACTAAGTGACATATAAATCCGAACACCGTGTTTAAATGGTTTTATTTTAATAAAAGTTGGTGAATGTATTTATCTTACTGTAAATAACAAGTGAAAAAATTTTCGGCCTTATCAGTTGGACATTCCGGTTTTTATACTGCTTTTTTTTAATTCACTAACGCTCTAAAAATGAATATTTCAGCCGCAGTAAAGAATCAACGTTGGCGGATTTTGGTTACGATGCCTAGAGTACGGAGACCTGTACGATTTCGTCAACTTAGTGAGTTTGATAGGGGCCGTATAGTGGGACTTCGGGAAGCTGGACATTCTTTTCGGGCAATTGCAGTTAGAGTGCAAAGAAGTGTAGACACTGTGGTTAGGTGTTGTCAGGCATGGCTTCGAGAAGGCCGTACGCAAAGAGCAAGGGGCACTGGACGCCGCGGTAGAACAACAGACCGTGAAAATCGCCGCCTAAGATTATTGGCCTTAAGGGACCGTTCCTCCACTACCAGGTCCATTGCAAATGAATGGTTTGCAGAACACGGAAGACCCGTTTGGCATGTGAAGTGTTTACCGACGAATGAGAAGTTTTGGCTTGTTTTGATACCGGCCACACTGGGTCCTCCCTTTAACTCGAGAACACCGACGTAATCGCCTTGAGTGGTGCAGACAACGGTCAGTCTGGGATCAGGAATGGAACAGTATTGTCTTTAGTGACGAGTCTCGATTTTGTTTAGGCATGCACGATGGTCGTGCCAGGGTTGGAAGGCGACGTGGTGAAAGGAGGAATCCACAGTTTTTTGTTGAAAGACATGTTCATCACACTGTTGGAGTTATGGTTTGGGGTGCTATAGCTTATGGTTCCAGGTCACCTTTAATCTTCATCAGAGGTAACATGAACGCGCAGCGTTATATCCACGAAGTTCTAGAACCCCATCTTCTACCCTATCTTGACACCCTGACAGATCCAACTTTCCAACAAGATAATGTCCGACCACATGTTGCAAGAGTCACAATAGACTTCTTTCAACATAATGATGTCACATTGTTACCATGGCCACCAAGATCTCCCGACTTATCCCCAATCGAGCACGTGTGGGATATGATGGGTAAGAGATTGCTCAATTTGCAACGTCCTCCTCAGACTCTAGAAGCAGTTCGAGAGGAGTTGGTGGTTGCCTGGAATGAGATACCACAAGAGGACATTGACCACCTGATCAGAAGCATGCCTAGGCGCGTTGGAGAATGCGTAGCACATCAGGGTGCATCCACACATTATTAAAGGCCAAAGGGCTTTAAAGCAGTTTTATCATTAACTTATTATGCTTCATTAAGTACGTATACAAAATTTTATTAAAATAAAACCATTTAAACTGGGTGTTCGGATTTATATGTCACTTAGTATATGTTTAAAATGGGCAATTCCCGTCCATTGGAAGAAAAAATCGAAGCGATTTTTATTAACGGTGCGACGCGTAACTTTCACGATACCGAAAGGATTTTTAATGATCGTTTCCCGGAATCTGTACAAAATATTTAAGGGAACTTGTATCGAAATTTACAGCTACTGGTAGTGTAAATAACAAAAAGCCCCCAGGTCATCCGATCATCCCGGAAGAAAAGCAATTGGTGAGATCACAGTAAATCCCCAACAGTCTACTTCCTCCATCGCGAATGTATGTGAGATTTGTCCTTCTACTTTTGAAAAAGAATAAGTATCACTCATACAGAATCCAAATGGTACATCAGCTAACTGAAGAAGAACAGAATTTTGCGTGACTGTGACGGAAACCATTGTGCACGGCATCCTACCTATATCCAAAATATTTATTTTAGTGACGAATGTACATTTTTTCTCAACGGTAATGTGCATAGAGAAAATTGTCGTTATTGGAGTGACACCAATCCTCACGTCTTCCGGAAAGCTCATACTCAATATCCACAAAATAATAACGTTTGGGCTGGGATTTTGGGAAATCACATTGTGGGGCCTGTATTCATCGAACAGACTTTAACCGGGAAACTATTTGGATATGCTGGAAAATACTATTGACCCTCTTCACCGAAATCGTCGAAGCATGATGGTGCTCCACCGCACTAATACAGACAAGTTAGGAATTATTTAGATAACAATTTCCCCGGTCGTTGGATTGGCCGTCGAGGTCCTGTGGAATGGCCAGCTCGCTCGCCAGATTTGACACCTTTAGACTTTTTTTATGAGGCTATTTGAAGCAAAAGGTGCACGAAACTGAACCTGCTTCAATACTGGATATACGGCTGAGAATAACAACTATATGTACAAATATCGAAGTTACTATGCTTGAAAATGTTCGACGCGAAATTACGGACCGGCTGTTATTGTGTCAAGAAGTTCAATGCAACCATTTCCAGCATCTTCCAACGTATTTATTCGAATTATCAAGTTAAATGTCAACGTATTCAGGTAATTATTAAATGTACCTCCATTTTGTAGTAGGTAAAGGTACTGACTTTATATTCTAGGGTTATAAAGTACTCGTCAGGAGCTCCAAAATGATGTGCCACAAGACCCCCGTTTTCATATTTTTTTTCCAAGATATCGCACAGTGGCCATCGTGGCATTTTCTTCTGCCAATTTTACTCTAAAATATGGTATCTACGCATCAATTTCTTTACATCAAGTTTTAATTTTTTGAATTGATCCGTTCAAAAAACAATCTCACATACGAATGTAAGTTAATTTATAATCATTTTGAACAATAGTTGCTATTTCTTCTCAATGTTATTGCAGCTCCTGATGAAGATGGCAAAGTCCATTGAAAGCTAGAGATTAATAAAGTACAAAGAGTCCTCTTTGGTTGACCCAACAAAATGCGGAAGCTTTATTTTTTCACCTAACTGGTCTAAACGACAATGACCAGGCCTCAATATATATATATACAGGGTGGCGCATCGAAAACGAAACAGACGCATTTACTGGCAGCTGTTTTTTTTAAACGCTCAGAGCCGTCGATTGTTTTCGAGGGGGACACAAGTTTGGCAAAAAATCACGTTAACACGGGCAGCCCCCTGGGCGGGGGTGACACCAACCCTAAAATCTTAAATGGAAAAGGGGGTCGAGTGATATCTTATTTTAAAGGTCTTTCAATTCCCTTTATAATGATATAAAATTAATGTACTTCAGTTCAGTAGTTTTGAAGATTTATTGATTTAAAGCTTAAATAAAACTAATACATCATCATTAAATGTATTGATCTCCACTAATGATGATGTATTAGTTTTATTTAAGCTTTAAATCAATAAATCTTCAAAACTACTGAACTGAAAAATATTAATTTTATATCATTATGAAGGGAATTGAAAGACCTTTAAAATAAGATATCACTCAACCCCCCTTTCAATTTAAGATTTTAGGGTTGGTGTCAACCCCGCCCAGGGGGCTGCCCGTGTTAACGTGATTTTTTGCCAAACTTGTGTCCCCTTCGAAAACAAAATCGACGAGTCTGAGCGTTTTTCCAAAAAAAAACACTGAGCCAGTAAATGCGTGTTTCGTTTTCGATGCGCCACCCTGTATATATATATATATAACTTGAGACGTGGTCATTGCCGTCTAGACCAGTTAGGTGAAAAATTAAAGCTTCCGCCTTTTGTTGGGTACTTCTACAAAATTTAAGCAAAGAGGACTCTTTATACTTTTTTAATTCTCTCTAGCTTTCAATGGACTTTGCCATCATCATCAGGAGCTGCAATTACAATGATAACAGTAGCAACAAAAGTGTAAAATGAATTTAAATTGACTCAACTTACAGTAGTATGTGAGGATGTTGCTAATTGTTGTTTACGTATATGATGAGGGAAACGTCCAGTAACATGGTGAGAGCTGGATACATGGTAAAATGGTCAAAATTATATAAAATATGACAAGAACAAGTTAAAAACAGATTAAAAATTATTTAAAAACATTAGAGCATTACATCGTGAAGCCACTTGATGATTGCACAAAATGGTGGTCATGGAATAATGAGTGAGATGAACCTTTGACAGAAGGCCGAAGGTTGTCAATGTCTGTGTTGAAAGATGGAACGAATTGTGGGCGTGTGCCAAAACGTTGCCAAATCACTTCAGATGATGTGATTTTCAGAATGTTATGTAAGAAATTGTTAAACCGACCAGAGGCAGTTGAATAAACTATATTTTAATTAATGGGAATTTAAATTAACAATTATTAATAAATCGTGAGAAGAGAATTATTAGATTTTGAGTGGAATGAAATTTACTGGTGGAATCGGCCAAAACACAGATTCTATTTATGGTTGTGAAGAGTCGAAATTTGGGGAGATATGTAAGTTCTCCAATTTTTCGCAGTTTAGCAAAAAGACAGATGTTAAACAACTGAGTGTCATTTACTCATATTTGCTAAACTGCGAAAAATTGGAGAACTTACATATCTCCCCAAATTTCGACTCTTCACAACCATAAATAGAATCTGTGTTTTGGCCGATTCAACCAGTAAATTTCATTCCACTCAAAATCTAATAATTCTCTTCGCACGATTTATTAA